TAGAGTACCTCGGCCTCATCATCCGCGAAGGCGAAGTGGCCATGGACCCGGTCAAGGTCAAGGCTGTCACGGAGTGGCCAGCTCCTAAGAACCTGCGCGACTTGCGCGGCTTCCTAGGGTTTGCCAACTTCTACCGTCGGTTCATCCGAGACTTCTCCAAGCACGCGCGACCGCTCAACGACCTTACCAAGAAGGACGTTTCCTGGACCTGGGGCACTGCACAGCGACTCGCCTTCCAAGCTCTCAAGGATGCGTTTACAAGCGAACCTGTGCTGGTCTCCTGGGACCCGGTTCGACCCACACGGATCAAAGTGGATGCCTCTGGCTTCGCGACCGGGGGATTCCTACTCCAGAAGCTGGGCGACGACCTCTGGCATCCGGTGGCCTACCGATCGGAGTTGATGGCTGAAGCGGAACGGAATTACGAGATCTACGACCGAGAGATGCTAGCGATCATCCGTGCTCTCGAGGACTGGCGACACTACCTGGAGGGACTCCCCGAACCCTTCGAGATCGTCACCGATCACCATAATCTTGAGTACTGGCGCACCGCACGGAACCTCACCCGTCGACAGGCTCGGTGGTCTCTATACCTCAGCCGCTTCGACTTTCGCCTCACGCACAAGCCCGGCAAGACGAATACCCAAGCCGATCCCCTCTCCCGTCTCCCAATCCACCAGACTACGGATGCGGAGGACAACCAAGATCAGATTGTGCTGGGACCGGAACGGTTCGTTTCCCTGTCAGCCACCCTCACGGATACGAGCACCCTGGAGCAGGAGATTCGAGATGCACAGGTACTCGACCCTGAAGTCGTCGAGGCTCTCCGCATCCTCAAGGAGAAGGTCCCTCGGAAGCTGGCAAACGGACTCCTCGAGTGGGAAGTGCGCGATGACCTCATCTATCGACATGGGAAGCTCTACATCCCCCCTGGCAAAGACCTTCGTAAACGAGTTGTCTTCTTGTGCCACAACGCAATCACTGCGGGGCATCCTGGACGGAACGGGACTATCGAGCTGGTCAGTCGTCTCTACTGGTGGCCTCAGCGAGACTCGTTCGTTCGCAAGTACGTCGAAGGCTGTGACACCTGCCAACGTCAGAAAGCCCCCCATCACCCTCGAGGCACACTCCAACCCCACGATGTACCTGAAGGCCCATGGCAGACGGTGGGAGTAGATCTCGTTACTGGACTTCCCCCTGTGCGCGGGTACGACACAATCATTGTCTACAGCGACCACTACAGTAAGCAGGTCCATGTGCTACCCACCACGACAGACGTCTCCGCTGAAGGAGTTGCGGACATCCACTACCGAGAAATCTTCCGTCTCCACGGTGTTCCGGAGAAAGTCGTATCCGATCGAGGACCCCAATTCGCGGCACGTTTCATGAAAGCCCTGTACGAGAAGTTTGGCATCCAGCACGCACTCACCACGGCATATCACCCCCAGTCCAACGGTCAGACTGAACGGGCGAACCAGGAAGTAGAGAAACACCTACGTCTCTTCTCCAACCTGCGACAAGATGACTGGGTAGACCACCTGCCGACAGCCGAGTTCGTGCTCAACAACCATGTCCACTCGGGTCTCCAAGTATCCCCCTTCGAGATCATCTACGGCTACCAGCCCAACTTCACGGTACCCATCGGCGCTCCCACTAAGTTCCCAGCGCTAGACAAGCGTCTGGAACTGTGGCGTGACGTACGGAAGGACGCGGAGGCAGCTCTTCGTATGGAGAAAGCAGCCATGAAGGAGTCGTTCGAACGCGACAAGCCAAAGCCCCACGAGTTCAAACCTGGAGACCATGTCTGGATGGACTCACGGGACGTCACCATCCATCAGGCCAGCCGCAAACTGGGACCACGACGACTTGGACCGTACGAGGTACTGGAACGCACCGGCGAACTCACGTACCGACTTCAACTACCCCCCTCGATGCAGAACCGACATGCAGTCATTCACGTTGACCGTCTCACACCTTGGACCGGGAACGACGTCAACGGCATACTCCCACCCCCACCGGAACCAGTCGCAGTCGAAGGCGAACTCGAGTACGAAGTCGAAAAGATCGAAGACAGCCGCACCTACCGCAACCAGTTCCAATATTTGGTCAAGTGGAAAGGATACGACGAAGGCCAGAACAGTTGGGAACCGGCGAAGGACCTCACTCACTGCCAAGAGTTGATCGACGAGTTTCACGAACGTAACCCCACCGCCCCACGTTGGATTGCAGCCTCTATCTTCCAATCCCTCCCCTGGCAACCCCTCGTCAACTTCACCGCTGCCACACCCTCTGACCTTGAATGGGCTTCTAGACGACGCCCCAGCCTAGGGTCCATCGGGGACCGACGGACCTTAGGAGGGGGGTAATGTCACGGACGTTGGACAGACGCCCCTTTTTGCCGCCCATTCCCCTCCCTTTGACGCCCACCTTCCATTTGCGGACCATTTCCTTTCCTAGCCCATCCCAATTTGGACACTGTAGACACGTTCCCACAGCCGCATGCTACGTTCCCGTGATCGCCATGCCCTTGCCCTTTTGTTCTCGCCCTTTGTTCTTCCTTTGTCATCTTCACTGCCTCGCTCTCGCGCCTTGTCTTTGGTTGCTAAGCAGCCCCTCTAGTATATAAGGACCCCCTTAGGCGCTCCCTAGTCCCCATCTCGACCTCTTGGTCATTGGGACTAGGTGAGTGGCCATAGTGTTGTATCTCTCTTCGATTGCTAATGTATAACTTGGTCATTGGGACTAGTCTGTCGCTGTCTGCGTGAAGACTAGCTTTCGCAGGTCTTGTGCCCTGTGCCGGCCTCCGCTCTGCCCT